AATTTGTCTCTTCGACATTCAAGTGGCATTAATCTTCAAGTCTAGCTATTAAGTGAATAAGTGTATTTCCAAATACGCAGCCCCGAAATTTGTCTCTGAAGTCAGTTCAAAATTGTGATTTTGAATGGAAAATTAAGCAAGTTCTTTTGCCTTGTGTTTTCTAAATGTGACAGGTGAAGGTTTCCACACGTGGGAGCTTATTTTTCTTGGGATACTTATTCTTCAGGCCTAATTGTGCTGTAAAGGTCGAGGGTGACCCTGCCTCCCTCTCTCCCTGATTTAGCTTTGTTTGTGTGTGAGCGCTTTCCACGGCCCATGTGAACCTGGAGGATTTCCTGACCCAGTGGCCTCAGTTGTTATGTTGTTTTTCTGACCCCTTGACTCAGCATGCAAAGACACACACACACGCCACGCTTCAAGCTTAAACACTGGGGCATTAGTCTACAGGAGGAAGTTCAAATAGCCTACCTATGCTTTTTCTAATCTTCCCTTTTTCTGTTTGTGTCATCATCATAAATTCAGTCCACAAGTGGCAGACATATTCTGTTACTGCCCTGCACTATTAGTGAAGGAGTATTTTTATAGCATAATAGTGTTTTTGGTTCTTTCTTACATGAAAAACAAAAAAACAAATTATGAATACTGTTTTTAACAGCTAGGACCCATGTATGAAATAAGTTCATATATCTGACAGATTAATACCTGGCTCTTCTTTAAGCCCCCTGTGCTAATAACCATTAGCCCCCTAGCGTGCTACAGCTAGCAAAACATTGTCTGCACTGAAATTGTTTTCACATTTCAGAGATGTGATTTAAACACAACTTACTGATTGTGGTTATGTCTCCTAAATGCAGCCTGTTATAGCTGGAACAGCCCCAGTTGTTAGTGTTAGCTTACCCGGGAATGCTGCTTCAGGCTGGGCTTTGCTGAGGAAGCGTCCTCCGTGAAGTGCCGTAAACAGACAGGCACCTGGGCCGCATGTTGTTTGGTGCTTTCTCCTTTTGGAAACACATTAAAGTTTCTTTCAAAACAAAATCAACTTTTCTTAAATATATTGAAAAACCCTTGACTAGTCGCATGCAGGGAAGTGTCGCGGAGGGAGAGACTTAGCTACTGGGTATACCCTATGAAAGTCGTGTTGGCCTGGAGACTTTGAACATAAAAAGTAACGTCAGACTTTTCGTCTTTGCTAAATACCAAAAATGCAATAAGCACACCTACAGACTTTTTTTTTAGCATGTGTTTACATATGTTTACGTCATTATTTGAAACTTCTGCCAAGTTTAGCAAAAACTTCCAACATAGTAACATTATATGTCCAAAAGTATGGGAGGCTATAAAATATCCCCATAAATATTAATTTATCTGCTTCACACGTTCATGATTCGGTTAAAAAAAAAAAAATTAAAAAAATCCAACTTCCCCCAATAAACCCCACATCCTCTTTATGATTCGCTGTAAATCTGACTTAATTGCAGCGACAGAAGTTGTAAAATCTTATCTGCTCATAATGCTGCCCTATCAATGACATCCACTCTTTGACCACTTTTTCATGTTTGTGTAACTTTATGATTTCCTCAAAACTGGAAGTTAGAGGCCCCAGCTCGTAAAAAACATAATTCTTTCTATGTGTAGCGTTTTTATGATTACTCTACCTCACGTAATGAAGACCTCAGGGTCACTCTGAGCTGCCCAGGAAACATGTACGTGGGTCATATTTTACAGCCTCACCTGGAGATGGAGTAACCTGGTTTTCTTTTACCTACTCTTGACTTAATTCTTTCACTTGCTGTTCATCGTAATGGAATAACACGATTTTTCTGTCAAATATGGCTTATATGTTACCCTGATGAAATCATGGGAGTTGTTCGCAGCAGTCGAGACTTTTGTCAATAAACAAAGACAATTAATGGCCGGAGACTCTCCGGTAAAATTACAGAAAACATATTTATGATTCATAACTAGATGAGGTGACCTCACAGTGTTGACTCAGGCTCAGTTTTCAGTCCTGCTTGTGTTTCTCACAGCCTCATCAGTGAAATCTGAACTCAACCCTAAAGAAAGCACACCTAATGAAAGTGTCCCCAAAGGAGGAAAAAAAGAAATTCAGCCTGATTGTTCAAACCTCTGACAATATCATCCTTAGGTAGCCTAAGTGCTCAGAAATGTTGAATGTCTGCTGCCATCTAGTGGTCATTTCAGAGGAAACAAGCTAAATGAATAGGCTGATTCTGATCATGCAAAGTACCAGAACACGTCAAAAGAAGCTTTTCATTAAGACCAAAAGTCAGAGTGTGTTTGAGCCGATTTCCTTTCTCTCAGATGAACAACTGGTGTGTCTGGGGAATAGGGGCGGCATAAATCTCTCATAGATGCTACAAGTAAAATAAATTTATTTTTAATGTTTAAATCATACACATTCATTGAATCTATTAGCTGCTTCAGGCCTATTCGTGTGTACAAATATTTTTAGATTACATCATCATCTGAAATATCTGAAATCAAATTCACTTAATCTCTCCAAAGGTTGGTGTTTATGTTATTTAACTTGTGTGTAACCTTTGCTTTCTGAGTTTTGGCATTTGTAAGAGTTTTGGTAATGACATAACTTCAGTGTTAAACTGGTGTTGTTAGATATTCCAGTGAAAATAGGCAGAGGATTCTGTTGCAGTGTTGCGATTTAAGGGTAAAGGTGACTGAACTTTATAGGCCTCTAAACTGTGAAGTGATCCACTGAGGTGGGTAAGTGTGAGGGGCTACTACATCCTTACCTCATCTTCTAAATCACATGTGGGGGAACATTATTCCTTCTCTTTAAACATAATTCTTACCCCTCCCCCAAAAACATATTTTCAGAAAATATGTGGCGACCAGTCAACCCCGCCTCTCGTCCAATGATGGCTGGGAATGACTCCAGTCCCTCACTGTAACGGGACAAGTGGTATAGATCATGGCTGGAAGGATGGGTGTTAGCACTAATCCCAACCAATCATCATTTTCTTCATGTCATTTTTTTTTTACAATCATGAAACATAGAATACATTTTTTTAAATCCCAGCAAAATCTTTCCACCCAGATATTTTTTATAATCAATATTTCTCTGTGTGTTTGTAAGATGTATACTTAGACTATCCATGTTAAAAATGTCATGTTAAATTCTTTTTTCAAACGTTAACTAAATCCACTGTTAAACTGTTGCGGTGTGTTGATGATCCTCAGACAGAGGAACTTGACTGTTAAAGTGTCTCTGTGTTGGATGCATTAGTGTTTGTCTTCCTCTAACAATAGTCAGTGTTAAAACCCTCCTAAAGGCTTTTTTAAAGTTTCATTCTTCTGACATAAGAAAATAACTTTAGAGGTCTCAGCTTTTGTTTTTGTACACTATTTCAACGTCAGACATGTATTTTCACTCATGCATCCTACAGGTTGTTTTACATTTCCACAGGCTGCTGCTGTTTCATGGATATATTTGAAACACTCTTTAAACTATGCATTTAATGTGGACCAATTGGGGTATAGCCTCGATCACAACGAAACATGAGCTCCCTTAACAGCTGTCCTGATTTTGAACCACATCAGTGTGGTGAGAGGAGACTTATGAATAAAAATAAATGTTCTATTTGAGTAGGTGGCAGATGCGAGCTTCCTGTCTGCATATGTGACCCGGCTGTGTGTCTAAAAGTGGGCTGTGCAACTCCTCTGCACAGACTCTTTGTCTGGAGCACTTCCACACAGAAGGAGCTGCAAGTATGACACATTTATGACACGATACATAACACAACAAGTCTATTGCAGTCAATTTAATGTGATTATATTTCAGACACTATGCATCATACATCATGATGATCACCTGCATCGACTGCTTAAACACAAAAAAAATATTATCAATTATAAATCAGTAAAAAAAATCCTTAGTACAAACAGTGCATATACTGTATCTTATCTCCAGAACACTAACAAGCAGAGAAAGTCAGAACAAAGTGAGAAATTCAAACTTTACCAACTGTCTGGACCTCTTTTTAAAAATGTTTTTTAAGAGTATGCAGTGTGATCACTATGTTGTTGTTTTTTCAAAAATAAATCACATTAAATAAATACAAAATACTAGCAGAAAGACATTTTTACTTACATTATATTATGTCAACATGTATTTTACTGTCCTGCATCTTGTTTTATCTCAGGTTATCACTGTGTCTGAACTGAGCTCTGATCATTGGAGTAAGTTATTTACACTGTAAATAACAGGTTGTGCACATAGCCTACATTCTGTTCCATACTTACTGCTTACAACTAACTCAATAACTTAACTCTTCTTCTCATATAGGTAACTTATACAGGGACATTGTAATACAGTATTAATGTCATTCATTATCATTTAATACAGGATATGGAAGTTTCTAAAATACAGACTAATTGGCTTTCCAAAAAGTTGTGATAGTACACCTTCATGCTCATATATGTACAAATCCTAATTGGAGATTCAAGCACAAGAAAAAGCAAAAAGTTGAACAATTCTGCAGGACTGAGGTGGGCTTTAAAGCTCCCGTGAAAGAACTTTCAGTTTGTGTTGTTTTGGCGCCCCCTGTGGTAAAAGCGGTACATGTTATCTCCTTGCCAATCTTGTTCTGTACACCAGTTAGTAGTCTTTTAAGCAAAAATGTTACTCCGCTCACTTAAATATACTCTTTATTGGCCTAGCTTAACCTTATTGTATTTAAGTATCTGGACATGTTCTTTTTAAATTTTAAATGTGTGCTATACAAATAAAGATTGAGATAGAATATTCTTAAAATAGAAAGTTATTTACTGGCAACATTTGTCAGCATTGTGTTGTTATTTTACCATTATACATTTATTAACTGCGAGGCTGAGGGTTTTATTTTGTCTGTCTTTGATTTAGAACAATCTAGGTTTATTAAAGTCAACCCCCGGACTTTGTTTTGATTGGACTCACCCCAAGTCAAAGTAATCAAGACAGTCATGTTTCACAGATTCGGAGCATGGGTGAAGCCTCTCCATGTGACCTCTGGTATGAAGCTCCGTTTATTGTTTGAGGACTACACAATGAGCACTTCCACTTTCCAGCATCCCGTTCTGGGCTGCATACCAGCAATAGGCTACATACCTCCCACAGGTGACCTGCTCGCTCACACACTTCCAGCTGTTTCATGGCTCGTTCCGCGCTTCTGCGGCACATTTTTTCACTCGTGATCACGCTATATTGTGGACTGTTCGGGATTACAACGTTTGAGACTCTGTAGTCAGTTGAAAAGTGAGTGAGATACACGGCTGTGTGGTTTTCCCACCGGGGGTCCAACTTCTAAAGTGGCTTTACGCACGAGCTCTTCTCCATCCAAAGCCGCAGATCTGGAGCCTATACACGCTTGGAAGTAATCGCAGCGCGGAGGGATGGCAGAGGAAATCCTAAACCCCCCAGATCTTAGAGAACTGGAAAATAAGGTTGGCAGGAAAACCCCGGAAAGTCTTCTGATGTGGATGAGGGATGCGGTGGACCGTGAACATGGCTGGAGGGCTGATGCTGTGGACAGGGGGGAGCGCAGATCTGACTTCAGCGAGAGTTTTTCTGACAAAATCAGCAACTTAAAACAAGAGATGGTATGATTCTTATTCTCATTTGTGGCTGTATCATATTTGAGACACTGCATGCATGATTGTATTTGTAAAAACATTCACTTTTGTCCTGTTTTTGGTGCTTTTGAATGTAAAGTTTCTGTGCGGTCTCTCCATGTACAGCCACAACTAGCACGACCTGTTTTAGCAGCAACCACTGCTCTGTTTATTCTGCTGACCTGTTTATCTCTCTATCGCACACACGCCAAATCACTGAGTTCTGTTCTGAGCCACTTCACCTGCTCATGTTAATGTCTTCTGACAGCCACTGTCACCTGCCTCTCTGTCACACCCCTCACCTGGCCTCCCTCTCATTCACCTCCATTCACATCTCACATTCTGACTGGATTCCTCCACTCATTCTCTTCTAATTCACTCCTCGCCTCCTCGCCCTCATTCCTTTCACGTATTTTGCTCTTTTTTTTTTTACTTCATGTATTGTAGTCTATATGTGCACGTAAAAAGACACCTAATTTTCCCAAAAAATAAGATGTATAGGGGCACTTGTGGGTGAAAAACAGAAGTTAAATCCACCTTCAGTGCGCACAAACGTCATCTGTCTTATTAACACCTGCATAATCTGACATTTTTTATGCAGAGGTCTCTGCGTTCTGCAGATGTGAGGATCCTGCGGCAGCTTGTGGCCGTGCATGAGGGGATCGAGGCCATGCGCTGGCTGATGGAGGAGCGGGATGCCTTGGTCAGCCGTGGCAGCAGCCTGACAGGCAGCCTGAGCAGCTTAGTGACTGTGGAGGAGCCAGGTACCTCCATGTCCCCCTGCAGGTACAGTTTGTCTGGCAGATGTGCAGGAGCATGTGTCTCACAGATAGGTGTTTCTCAGGCCAGATGCAGATACAAAACATTTACAGTTCGAGGGCTCAGGCTTTAAATGTTGCTTTTTTTTTGTGCTCTCGCTTCCACAGAGAAAACCTGAGTCCAGCTCATGAAACCGCTGGATATGAGTCAGGAGATCAACAACCACACACTGACCATGATGAGTCAAATCTTGTCAAGAGCTACTTTGACATGCCGAGCTCTGAGTTTACTGAAGCAACACCTCCAAGTCCATCTTCCTCGACGTTTGAAGTCATGCAAGTCACACAGAGCAGGCATGTTCAAGCCTCCTTGAGTCCTGACAATTTTTACAATAGTGCGAGTTTATCAAAGTCACAATCACAGGACTCAAACATTACTCCATTAAAAGACATTAAATCTCGTGGTGACACCATCAGAAGAGCTCTGCTCAGATCCAGCAGGGTAAGGAAAGAAGTGAGAGCAGATTCTGGTATTTTTTCCTCTACTAAGCAGTCAGAAGAAACACAGACAGAGCAACAACCCCAGCAAAGTTCCAGAGACCATCAGAACAATGTGACGAAAACAGAGGAGAGTGAACCCAATAAAGAGACAATGTTGCTGGGCTATGACGCTCAGTGGTGCTGGGTGGAGTCACAGGACGATGTGACGTTTCTATGATTTTAACAAAGGATCTTTGATGTGTAGCTGCTCCCCTTAAAAGTGAAATGCCAGTTATGAAGTCAGATTAATAATGCACTTTGACAGTGATTAATAACTAAAGATGAATGTCCATAAATACTGTCTATATGTCACTACTCACTCTGTCACTACTTTTTGAATTGTAGTGAGGATAAAGTTGCTGTTTCATCTCTTTTTTTAAATTGCTTGTTGAATTTATGAAATCTTAGTGAATACAAAAAAAAAAGACAAATTAAGCAATTCTTCAAATTTGTTGGAAAAAAAAAAAAATCAAAAGATGTCCTGTCAATGTATGATCAGTTCTTCACACACTGGTGACCTGTATTTTTAGAGATATTGAACTTGAACTTAAGGTGTTCTAAAATAGGCTAGTGGGTCTTCAGACTTTCTAATGTAATTGCACTTATTGCAGATTATTAAAGTGCTTTTTTTTATTTGGTGTAAAAAATAGTTGTTTTTATTTCGGCTTACGTCCTTATTTCACATGTTTAAATATTTCTCAATTATAAATATGATGCAAAAATAAACCAGTAAAGACCTGTGCTGGTTACAAAAAATATCCTTTATTAATGCTTAAGCTTGTCTCTCAGTCAACGCAGCAGAGAAGTATGACAAACGGAATGAATGTGTTGACATACAGTAGAGGAAAATGTTTAACTCAGAATAAGTTGGCTAACTGAAATAAATGCAAGCTGTCTCTTGTACTTTTAAAAGTTTTTACCTTGTTCAAGAACCTAATTTAACTTCGTCTAATTAGATTATTTTTCACATGTTTGCTTGTCACTTTAATTATGATCTATTCCGTGTTCGAAAATGTCGCAAATTATGAAGGAAATGCCGATTAGTGTCTCGTCTTTCCGATGGACCTCAAAGGCAGCATCCCGACAACTCTCGTGACGTCATGTATTTACATGGAAACCCGGAAGTTTGGTGCAGGTAGAAATCGTTTCCCCGCGGTAGACTTGTGTGTGACATTACAGGTGGCTAAAGGACGATGTAATGTTTGAGTCGCACGAAAAGGAAACATGGACTTTTGCTTCCTTCGTTGTCTCCTTTACGTCGTCCTGACGGCGTGGACTTCAGGAGACGGTGAGTTTTTTTTTTAAGTGAAAGGGACGAAATCTGAGTTTACTGGTATTAGCATGTTTGCTAACTATCCGTCCAGCTATCTGAATCCATGATACCTTTAGCACAGGTACACTTGGTGCACCTATCACGCACCTACATTGTTAAATATATATGTTTTCCTACCTTTAAATGTATATGAAAATAACGACATATATCTTTAAATTAGATCTAACTCAGCATTCAGTTGTTTATTTTAATAGTAAGAGTCGTTCATTCATGAAGTCAGCTGTTTCCTCTTTAATGACACAATGTGTTTGTTGTTTTTCTGTTCGTTGTGTAACTGTCAGGTGTATTGTTTGCATTTGAATTATTCGATGTCTCTTGTTTTTTAGGGTGTCATTTAAAAAAAAAAAAGAAGTTCTCATGGTAAAATTATCCATTTTACGTCTTTAATCAGATAAAATATGAAGACAAACAATTAAGCATAATATACTGCTTAACATGGACATCATATTTCAAAAAGCAAAGGAACATTTTTATAGTAAAATCCAGAGGCACTAAAACGGTAACTCACTTTGTAACTTTAGAAGTAAGATATTATTGTTATTATTATTATTTATTATTATTATTATATTGTAAAGGGTTTTTAAGGTCAACCCAACGAGTCATTTTTGGAGCTATTGTGATGAAGAAGGATTTGTGTTATTGAGGTGATGTTTAAATCAGTCAAAAGGATTCCAGTTTATTCAAACGTGGATATTTTCTGGTTTCTTCCTCCTTTAAAACAGTAGATGGAATATTTTTTGGTTGTGGACACACAAAAAAAAAAACACATTTGGGAAAGTTATCTGGGGCTTTTGAAAACCTTGATCAATCTGATATTTTATAAACAATTAATTTGTTTATCAAGACTCAAAATTGGACAATTAATGAGTGTAAAATCAGCCCTAAACGTAACTATGATCAGCGGTAAAACGATGTTTGTCTGCTTTCACTCAACAAAGTCTTGATCCCTGCAGATGGACAGGTGACGTTTGTATCCGAGCTCTCGTCCAAACCCGCACAGAAGTTGTCAAAGTACGGTTGGTACGGCAACGTGAGACTGCAGAGGTTTCACATACCGGAGGAAACCGCCATCGCTCGCTGGCTGTTCTCTGTCACCAAAGGCCACAGCTTCAACTGTGGACAGCACAATGTCACTATGTAAGAGTTACATGTGTGCACTATTCCCCTCCTCCTTGTTGATCTGATTTTCCTCGGTGTTTCATTTGTTTTGTTGAAGCTTTCTGTTTCTGTACATTGTTGTTACGATCATCTGCTAAACCAGTCTCTCTGCTTCTGTTCTCCCTCCTCTTTTAGCCACATTCGATGGGGTGCCCCTCCCGTTATAAACCCCACAGGGTTGTTGTTTCCTAACGCAACACTTTGGAGCCCCAGCCTGTCTCTGATCCTACCTGTGACATCACACAGCTCCACAACCTATAACCTCTCCAGTCCTGCTCCTGGGGATTGGTACATTGGTGCTCACTTACCTGAAGATGATGGGCGCATTGAGCAAAAGGTTTGTATGGAGCTGTTTGTATACAGTGCAAACAGCACACATGTAAACAAACGTGCACATTAAAATAGCTGGGAATTCTGTGAGGGGAAAAAAAACTTGACATAAGGTATTTATCTTTTGTGGAATGGATGTATCAAATCTGTACCTCACTTTGACACAGTGTGTGTCTATAGTATTAGTTTGGACAAACAGCTGCTTTGCATCATAGGGCCAAGATGTAATATTAGTATGATAATCCTTCTCACTTTCTTTTTAGTCCAACCAGTTCGACTGGGCCAGAGAATAGATTTGCACCTGACGTTGCTAAACCACATTCTCCTTTCCTTGGCTTCTTTATACATGCAGAATGGCAGCTGAAAACAAAGTCTTGTTCATCATTTTTCTATTTACATTTGATCTCATATCTCTGCATGTTTACGTATGTCTGTGTTTCCTTTTCCTGTTCTCTACTACTGACTGATCTCTGTTATTTTTTTTTTTTTACAAGTCCTCTCCCAAACCTATATAAAAGTTGAAAGACAAGCTTGGCCTGATCATTTAAAGAGAACTTTGAGCCCATAGTTTATTCAATGTTTGCTTTCTTTTATATCTCAGGGCTTCCCGTCCTGCTCCTACTTCTTCCAGCCTCAGTTGTCAATCAGGAGAGCAGTGGACACACCCATTTTACAGCAGGGCACGCTCCTCCAGCAGACTGCAGCACCTGACAGACCTGCACGCCTTAAGTAAGAAGTGACTGTCATTCTTTGCACAGTGGACTTATGTATCAACTAAAGTCGACTATTTCAATAATCAGTAGGTTATATCCTCATGAAACATGCATTCTTAAGTGTCCTTTCTAGCTCTGTCATTGTACACAGAGTGATTGCTTTGTATAAACAGAAGACACTGAGTCCCTTGAGCATTTACTATGTGTGAGGTTTTAAGCGGAAGCTGAGTTTTCTGCAGAGTCTCTTCTCTCTAAAACAAACCAGACCTGGTGATTACTGTTAAACTGGGAGAAACACTGAATAGCGTGCAAGCAAAAGATTCCACAAACCAAAGAAAGATCCTCTGTGTTAAGAATCCTTCATCCAGTCTAATAATTTAGTTTAAAACGACAAAACATTTAGATGGTAGTCAGATAAATGTTTCTAAAATGTGCTTCTAAAATCCAACCTTTATGGAAAATCAAGAAAAATGTGTGTCTTACAGATCAGTCACCACACTCATTGTAAGTTTGTGTGAAAGTGATTTGCGGTACTGAATCCAAAAATAAGAACTAAGTTTAGGGCTGAACAAATTACAATTCAGCTGATGGCATTTGAAATCTGATACAGCCCTTGTGTGCTCATGTAACTTCCAATCCTTGCTCCAATCCTTTGTTTTCCTCTATATATTTTTAATCAGTCAGTATCATTAGAGTTAATATATTTGTGTGTGTCTCAGGTTGTATATTCCAGAGTTTGCCTCCTCTCTCTCCGTCTCCGTGGCTGACTGCTCCTCAGAGGACGGAGCAGACGTTGGAAACTGTTCCCTCGTCCTCAGGCTCGGCTCCTTCACTCCTCAGCACAGCCCGGCCACAGTGAACTGCTCAGGGATCAGCTGTTCTGCCGCTCTGTCTCAACCACCGTGGGACACCTGGTTACGGGTTGTCGTGGAGAGCGACCACAACCACACTGTGACCTTCAGTATCGTCTCCAACTTCACAGGTGAACATACAAACACACACACACGTTTCTCTTGGTTTCACACATCATGCCTCCATTCTGATGAATTCAACTGCGTGTGTGTTTTCTCTACTCTGTGTTCTCAGTGGGATGTAAGCCAAAAAGTGTCGGCCTCACAGCAGATGATGACATCAACAAGCTCCGTGGCAACAGCAGCCATAGCAACTCAACATCAGCAGGAAATAGCACGGTGGATACGGATGCAGTTGGCTTCGGAAACAAATCGGCCGCTCTGTTAACGCCGTTGTTGGCGTCGGCGTGTGTGTGGAGCTTCCCCGTGCTCTACGAGGAGGTGGACATTCTGTCGCTCCGATTCACGCCCGTCAACGGACCCAACGTCAGCGTTTCAAACACACACCCTTCACTGCTCACATACCCTCTACACACACAGGCCACTGGGGGAACACTGAACCTACAGCTCACACTCAACACTGTGAGTACGACTGAATCTCTTCACATAACTCAAGATTTGTCCGACAACAGCCTTTAAAATTTGATCAAGTTTTGCGTATGTGCTTTCATGCTATTTTTCTGAGTAACTATACCGACTTACTCTACACGTCTGTGTTTTGTGTGTGTCTGTGTAGACTAATGTAACTCTGGGTAACAGCAGCAGTGTGGTGGCTTGTCTCTCTCCCTGGGCTCCAGTCCTGGAACTCAACAACTCTCGACCCTGTCGCACAGGTAGAACATGGAACTGCAATGATCGCTCAACACTGACACATAAAGACATGCATGCATATGTATAGCTACCCCATGCAGCGTTATCTTAGAGTATAAGAAAATGTAGATGTAAAAATGATAATAAATACCAAATACAAAACAGGCTGTTTGTCCCACAAAACACAAAAGCTCATCATGTTTACATAGTGCTGTGTTAAAAACCTCTTAAGCAGGCTTATTAGACCTGTTTACAGCTTTGAGATGAAGCAGACTGCAAGAGTGTCTCCCTCTTTTCTGCCAGTTGCATGCTGAGATACTTTGCAAATTCACCTGGGCTTTATTTCAAAATAGTCAATTTTGATTGGTTCGTTGGAAATGAAGGAAAACCTGCAGTAGGGTCAAAATACCTTGATGTCATTCTGATCTCAAGAAAACCTC